TATTTTTGCTAGAAAACTGATATTTTTGACTTTGTGTGAAGTAGTGACTATGGACTTTGTGAGTGAAAATACTAGCAATCATTTGTGTCAAAGAACCAATGGACATCTAAGCACTCTTCTGATAAAGGGAAAAACAGATTTGTTGCTTGAAAGGATCTTTATAGGCTAAACAGATGACACATGCATAAAGAAACAGGATTCATCATTTAAGGAAAATGGCCAAGCTAGGATCTTGTTTTATTACCTGTATCCCTTTTTACAAGGGTCTCATTTCCGTACTTCTATTTAAAATCAAAACAAAACACCTGCTCAGTTAACCTGTGAGACAGAGAAGAAGGGGAGGACAGCCATCTAATTTTCTTTAACTGGGAATGCCCAAAGAACCAAGGAATGGCTCATGCCACCTCCTGATGTCACATTACTCCCACTGGAAAGTTGCCATGTTGCTGCTTATTGCAGCAGTTCTGTGCAAAAAAAAGCTCACCATATGAGTCATTGAAACACCCATGGAACAGCCAACCCAAACAGATAACTGTCCAGTTGCTTCTTAAAAGCAGGTTGCTTACCTGTAACTGATATTCTTTGAGTGGCCATCTGTGCAGTCACACATATGGGGTGCTGCGCCTGCGCAGTGCCTTTGTCCGGAAGATTACAAGCTAACGGTTTTTGGCGGGAAAGCTCTGCTCCCCCTCCCCCATGGCCTATAAAGAGAGGAGCGTCCGCCATTTTGTTCAGTCTTTGACGACCGAACGTACACCCCCATGTGGAAAAAATATCCCTACTGTAAACGATATCAGTACCAAGAAAAAATGGAAACATTCGGTACGGACGAAAATGTCCACTCACCGACACCGAGTGGGGCCAGCGGGTGGGTTGTGTGACTGCACAGATAGCCACTCGAAGAACATCAGTTACAGGTTAGCAACCTGCTTTTCTTCGTCGTGGCCTCTGTACATCACACATATGGGTAGATTAACAAGCTTACCATAATGGAGGAGGGGAGGTGTCCTCAACGAAGAACAGATGAAAGAACGGCTCTGCCGAAGGAGCAATCTTGTCGAGCCCGAACGTCTAAACGATAATGTTTGGCGAAAGTGCAAGGCTTTGCCCAAGTAGCAGCTCGACATACATCATCAATTGGGACTCCCAATGTGAAGGCAGATGAGGCAGCAACAGCCCTAGTCGAATGGCTTCCAGGAGCTGTGGGTAAGTCAATCTTAGCCAGTTGATAAGATAAAGTGATAGTATGGACTATCCACTTAGAAAGTCTCTGCGGAGTGACTGGAGCGCCTTGATCTCTGGTAGAATATTTAACGAAAAGTCTAATTGAGAGCCGAATAGATTCCGTCCTAGATCTGTAGAAGGCTAAGCAGCGCCGAACGTCAAGTGAGTGCAATGATCTTTCTAACGGAGTCGACGGATACGGAAAAAAGGCAGGTAAGATAATATCTTGTCCCATATGAAAAGGTGTGGACACCTTAGGAAGAAAGGATGGATCGAGCCGCAGGATGACCTTTTCTCTGTGAAAATTTAGGTAAGGAGGGTCTATGCGGAGAGCACAGAGCTCACTGGCCCTTCGGGCCGAGGTAACCGCCACTAGAAACGCTGTCTTCCATGAAACAAGTCGTAAATCGACTGTTGTCAATGGTTCGAAAAGAGCTCTTGTAAGCGCTTGCAAAACAACAGAGACTCCAGGTAGGCATTACTGGCCTGATTGATGGATTGAGATTATAAAGACCCTTAAGAAACCTCTTAATAGTAGGTTGAGAGAAGATGGGTGATCCATCCACCATGCCATGATGACAGGCGATTGCCGCCATATACACTTTAATTGAAGATGGTTTCAGTCCAGAGTGGTGCAGTTCTAATAGGAACTGAAGAATTTGATGTATCGATGATGTAAATGGAGACTTGGCAAAGGTGGAACATCGTCTCCATTTAGCTGCGTAGGACTTCCGTGTAAATGGCTTTAAAGCGGAATCAAGGATGTGTTGAATATCCAGATGAAAGGTTGTCAGATTCGACGGAACAATCCTCGAATCCGACAGTGCTGGAGGATCGAAAGAGGAAGCAGCGCTGACCCCAGCAGATTCGAAGGCCCTGAACGCAGCGGATTCGAAGGCAGGATTCGAACCACTTGAAGTTGCCGTCAATACAGATGGAGCAAAGTTAGCTATCGGATTCGCCACGCTGTTAGGTTCAACAATAGTACATCTGGATGGCGAAGCGTACCGTCCTGTTGGTTTATGAGGTACGGAAGCAGTGGAAGATGAAGGTATTCCCCGTGAGAGATGCTGAGCAGTGTGGCAAACCAATGTTGGTGTGGCCACCAAGGGGTGATTAGTATCTCCGTGGCCCAATCGTATACTATCTTCGCTATTACTCTCACCACAAGAGGAATCAGCGGGAAGGCGTAAAAGTTCAGGTTGTTCCATGGGATCATGAAGGCGTCCCCTAGGGATCCGTACCCAATTCCCGCTCTCGAACAGAAAGCATTGCACACCTTGTTCTGTTGGGTGGCAAACAAGTCCACGTCAGGGAACCCCAAGCGATGAAAAAGATTGTCGTGTGTCTGAGGATCTAGCTCCCATTCGTGAGAGATGAACATGCACCTGCTGAGGAGGTCCACTTCCACATTGTCCATACCAGCCAAATAGACTGCCATTAGTGTAATGTCTCTCGAAATGCACCAGTCCCAAATCTGCATAGAAAGTCTGGCCAGAGTCGGGGACTTCGTTCCACCTTGTTTGTTCAGATAAAAGATGGTGGCTATGTTGTCCGACATTATCTGAACGACCCGGTGTTGGAGAACATCCTCAAAAGAACGTAGGGCTTTGAATAACACCAATAGCTCCTGGAAGTTGATATGATTCGTGGATTCCTGATGAGTCCACGTGCCCTGGGTATATAGGCCGGAGCATACCGCTCCCCACCCCAGGAGAGACACGTCGGTACCGAGGGTTATCAATGGGCATCGGGGCCTGAAAGGAACCCCAACAGTCAGATTGGCTGGGACCGACCACCATAGTAGAGAATGGAGCACCGAGGATGGGATTTGAAGCAACTTCGATGGTGGGTCTCTCTGTGGGTGGAACATCTTGTTGAGAAATAGTTGTAAAGGACGAAGTCGAAGTCTGGCGTGTGGCACCACAGCAACGGAGGAAGCCATATGTCCCAGAAGCCTCTGGATGCACTTCGCTGGAACCGTCCCATCTCGTCGCATTTGATGGATGTGGCGAGCGAGAGTCTGTTGTCTGTCCTGAGGAAGGAAGGCTTTTTCCAACGTCGAATCCAAATGGGCTCTGATAATGTAAGCGTCTGCATCGGAAGAAGAGAAGATTTCTCGGTATTAATGCAAAGGATCAGATCGTCTAATAAGGCACAGGTTGTATGGATGGATGTGAGGAGTCCTTCCTTAGACCGGGACACCAGAAGCCAGTCATCAAGGTAAGGGTAAACTTGTATGCCTTGGAGGTGTAGGAAAGCATAGAAAGGGGCCATGCATTTGGTGAACACTCTTAGAGCAGTGGCCAGACCGAAGGGTAGAACCGTAAATTCGTATAAATTGGGTGCAACAGCAAAGCGAAGGAAATGCCTATAACTGGGGTGAATCAAAATATGGAAATGGACGTCCTTCAAGTCCAATGAGGTGAACCAATCCTCTTTCCTTAGCAGCGGCAAAATATTTTGAAGGGTGGTCATTCGAAACTTTTTTGTCATAATAAATCGATTCAGATTACGTAAGTCCAAAATCGGACGTAGGCCACCATCCCGTTTCGGGACTGTAAAATATCTGGAGTAGAATCCGTGGAGTCCGTCAGGTGGAGTTACTTGACGAATCGCTCCTTTATGAAGAAGTTGTTGTATTTCATCGAGCAATACCGGTGAGCATGATGTAAACTGGATCGGACTCGATGGAGGAACGATGTCGAATTCTATCCGATAGCCGTGCTGTATGATGAATAATACCCACCAGTCAGATGTGATCGGCTTCTCAGCCGGTCCCCAGATGAGAGGGGGGTGGGTATGGAAGGGGTTAGAGGAATGGTTCGCCAGTCCCATCAACGCTGCCTCCTATCTCCGTCATAACGGCTAGGGCCCTGTTGATAACGTTGCTGGGGCTGTTGGCGGCGTTGCTGTTGGTGTGGCCGGTGCTGGGGCTGTTGCCTAGGCTGATAAGATTGTCTATAGGATGGACGGGTCCATGCCCACTTATGCCTAGGTTGAGTCTGAAGCTCCATCCGTCGGGCCGTTATGCGGGACTCGTGGAGTTTTTTCAGCTTGTGTTCAGTCCTGGAGTGGAAAAGTCCGGACCCATCAAAGGGCATTTCCTCAATTTGCCACTTAGTCTCCTCCAGAAAGTTGGAACTCCTAAATCAGGCATGTCTGCGGAGAGAGACAGCACTGACCAAGGCTCTTGAGACAGTGTCCACATGATGCCTGGCTGTGGACAACTGCTGGACGGTAACCTGCATCGCCTCCTTTATCAGCACCTTTGCCAGATCACCCTGGTGGTCTGGGAGGGTAGAGACGACGTTGTGGAGGCGTTGCATTATGAAGTATTGGTACGTCACCTCATAGTTGGAAATACACAGCCCCAGGCCTGAGGCTGCATAGACTCTCCTGGCCAGGGAGTCGATCTTACGTTCCTCTTTGTCCCTCGGTGCGGTGTGGCCTCTTGCCTCTCTACCCTGGGAGGACTCCACCACGACCAAGTTCGGCTTGGGGTGGCGGAGGAGGAAGAGAATGTCCTCCTCCCGAACCCAGTACATGAATTTGTACCTCCGAGACGTGGGTTGAGGGTGAGAAGGCAAGTCCCAGGGCTGCATCATCGCCTGTCGTAAGGTGGTAATCAACGGCAGGACGATTGAGGTGGACTGCTCCCCACGGACGACATCATAAAATTTGTCCGTAGAAGGTCCCAGACGCTGGACGGCGTCGATGTCAAGGGACTGGACAAGCCGGAACATCAGCTCCGCGAAGGAGACATGGCGCAGGGCCCTGGGAGGTCACAGCGATGTCTGGAGAGGTTGAATTGACCTCCGAGTTGTCGGAGTCTGCACCATAATATGGAGGGACTGAAGACGAGGACTCCATTGGAGAGACGGACCGGCTACTTTCATCCCGAGGAGGTATCGAGGATGCGTATCTCGGACCCGAGGACAGTGGACGGTCACGGGAAGGTGGTGAAGACCGACCCCTAGGTACGGGATAGTACCCGACAGTGTGTGGTTCGCCCCACGATGGATAGTAGGTGCGGTGCCATCCCTCGGATCGCTGTTCCACTGAGCGACTCCTTCGGCTCCTAGGCGGGGACATCTCTACATCTGCCTCCATTGTGGCTGGGGTCATAGGTGTGGGTGACCTATCCCTGGGGGGAGAGTCTTGAATTTCCCCATCAGAAATTGACCCCTGCTGAAGAGTTGGAAGCGGCTCAGTAGGAAGGTCAGCCACACGTCGAGGGGACCCTTGAGGGGTGACCCTCATAGCCACCTGGAGCACCGGATCGGGTGGAGTCGGTACAGTGACTGCCGCCGGTACCAAGGGGGCCGTCGAACCCGAATCACGGTGTCAAGGGCACTCTGTGTCCTTCGACTTCTGTGTCAGTTTCAGAGGCTTCTCCTTCCTGGCTTTCTTTGCTGATTTATCAGATTCAGCATGCTTATGCTTCTCGTGCTTTTTCTTCGGAGAAGCAGGTGGAGCCCCCATGGTAGACGCGCCTTCCTCCGAAGGGCATGAGGGCGGAACCACCGTAGCAGAGCCAGGCTTCGGAGCAACGATGAGTGGGTCGGACTGCATGAGAGACCGATCCCACAGGAGCCTCCGCAGGTGATTCTCACGGTTTTTCCTGGCCTGCTTAGAGAAGGCCAGGCAGTGAGAGCATTTGTCAGTCCTATGCCCCTCCCCCAAGCAGAGGAGGCATAGGTCATGCGGGTCGGTCGGAGACATCTTCGACCCGCATTCCGTGCATTTGCGGAAAGCCACTCGCTGCACCATCGTAAGAAAAGAAGAAATAGAAGACAGTGCAGAGGGTAAGAATATATTTTTTGTTTTTTGTTTGTTTTTTAATAGAAGATCGAAAGAGAAGGTAGAACGATAGAGAACTATGAAACTAACAAGAACTATAAGAACTAGCAAGAACTAACGGGTATAACAACTGGGAGAATAATCGAGAACAAGAACAAGCTAGACGAGCAACGGTCAGAGCGATAGCGAAAGCGGCACGAGGCACAGTGAACGGTAGTCGCAAAGACTGAACAAAATGGCAGACGCTCCGCTCATTATAGGCCATGGGGGAGGGGGAGCGGAGGGTTTCCGTCAAAAACTATTAGCTTGTAATCTTCTGGCCAAAGGCACTGCGCAGGCACAGCACCCCATGTGAGTGATGCACAGAGGCCACGACGAAGAAATGCAGCTAATAGTTCACTAGTTATTCAGTATTTCATTAAGGAGGTTGCACTAAAAAGAGGCAATATGTCACTGCTGAACAAGTCAAATGTCTGCCTTCCAATTTTCCTATCAACTAAGTTATGGAGCATGCCTGTACTTTATAATTTAGGGATAGACCTTGCTGGAATATCTGCAGATTTAACAAAATACTGTAGCCATTCTTCTGAGTTACAATAGAAAAGTCTGCCAATAAAACTCTGCCTTATACAACAGTGTCCAAATACAATCTGAAAAGTAGTCCTAGTGATGGAAACACGGATGCTGTACAACTCTGAAAAGACTTTAGATGCCATATTTGATAAGTCATATTTATATATGAACAGAGATCATAAAAGATCAGTAGATGATTCAGCAACAAGAGCAGATACAGGAACAAATAAATGACAGTAGTGTTTAATGAAAGTGACACTTGGCCAATTCTAATGGCATGCTAAGTCACCCTGAGAATAAGTTAATGCCGTGTGGGTTGTTCATGGAACAATTTCACAGTGCACCTGGCCAAACAAACAGGCTCACCCTGGCTTGTTCTCTCCCCTAGTTCTCCCAGAACCTGACTTGTTACCTGCTCTGATTGCTATTACTTTTCATTTGCTGCTATTTTTATTTTCTGGAACCTCAAAAAACAGGACAAACAAGGTCACATATTTTTAGTTTCTGAAAATTACACAACTGCTCATAATTTACTATGAACAACTCTTAAAGCTCTCCAATATGATCAGTCTTGTCTTTTTTAGCTGTCAAAATGCAGTAGGTAAAATACATACACATTGGAAAGGCAACATTGCTTATAGGCTAATTTAATGTCAGGAACAATTGCTTAGCTGCAAATCAAAAAAGCATTGTCGTCATCATCAGCCATTCAATCGAGTCTGACAGTTGGCAATTCTATGGACTGTTGCTCTCCATGCCCCTCTGTTTCGCACTGCTTCCTTCAAAACCGCCATGTCTATTTCAATGTCTTTCTTTATGGTGTCCAGCCAGTAGGTACTGGGGCGGACCCTTCTCTTTTTTCCACTGATCATTGGCTCTGGCCTCTTGGCAGAGCAGCAGAGCAGCAGAGGCACAGGCTGGGAGAGAGTGCTGAGTGGCAAGGGGACTGGCGAAGGCAAGGTAGGAGCTAGGTAGGGGAGCAGAGGGCCAGGAGCAGCAGAGAGAAAGGGCATCGTCCCTTGGCTGTGGCCCTTGGCTGCGGCCCGGGCTGTCCGGAGACTCCCTTCCCTGAGACACAGAGGTTTGATTGCTTGTTTGTTTTTGTTTGTGCTGTGCTTTGTTTTTCTGCCAATTTCAGTTTATTTTATCCTTGTGTGTGCGTGTGAGGGGGTTTATCTCTGGAAGAACTGGACGAGTGAGAGGAACTGTAGGACAAACAAGGCAGGGGACCAAGGTAAGGTCTCGGAAGGGATACCGATGGCAGACCAGGAGATGGCCTTGGCGGGAGTCACGGGTGTTGCTGTCTGCTACGAGAGCTGCGACATGTTTGCCCTTCTCCCCCGGGAGAGGCAGGGATACACTTGCCCTCGATGCAAGATGGTGACCCTGCTAGAAGAGGAGGTGAGGTGCCTGAGGGCCGAGAGAGCTCTCCAGCCCCGCCCCCCCGGAGCAGCCCCCTCTGGACAGAGGGTTGAGGGAGAGACCATGGGAGGAGCAGCTGTGGAAACATGGAGGTATGTCACCCACAGAAGGAGGAGGCCAGCACGGCTGCCTCCTTCTCCTGGCACCAATCTGGAGCTGGGAAACAGGTTCTCTCCACTTGGGGAGGCTGGGGCTGATGAGGCCTCGGGGGACCAGCAGGACCCCCAGCCTGGGACGTCAGGCGGCAAGGGGGCTGCTGCGGAAGAGGTGAGGGCCAGGGCACGGCCGCCCACCACCACCACCAGGAAGACACGGTGGTGGGTGATTGTTGTTGGGGACTCCCTGCTGAGGGGCACTGAGGTGGCAGTGTGCCACCCCAACCTGGAGACAAGGGAGGTTTGCTGCCTGCTGGGCGCACGCATCCGGCAAGTGAAGGACAGAGTGGAGCGTCTTGTTCGCTCCGGGGGTCACCAGCCACTCCTGGTGATCCATGTGGGCACAAACGATGTGGCCAGGCAGGGTGTGGTTGGGACCACACTTTGGGGAAGAAACTAAGGGAGCTGAAGGCCCAAGTGGCCTTCTCATCAATCTTACCTGTCCAAGGATTTGGGTCAGGAAGGGACAGGAGGGCCTCCGAGGTGAACGACTGGCTTAGGGTGTGGTGCCAGAAGGAACGCTTCGGGTCCCTCGACCACGGCACACGTATTCTTGCCAATGGACTGCTGGCAAGGGACGGGTTACACCTCACGAGGATGGGGAAAAGGTCCTTTGGAGAAGCTCTAGCGAACTTCGTCCAGAAGACTTTAAACTGAGCCGGGGGGGGGGGGGTTCAGGCCCCCCAGAAATGTGTCTGCACTGGACAAGAGATCGGGGAGGATCAGGGCTCTGGGAGCAGGGTTTTAGAAATACTGCAGGGACTGACAGGACTCCTACAGAGAGGGGCCAGGTGTCAGGGAGGATGGGAGGAAGGAGGAGGCTGGGAACTCCAAGGAAAGGAAGTGGTGGGAAGGAGTTGAGGTGCATGTACACCAATGCTAGGAGCATGGGTAATAAGCAGAAAGAGTTTGAAGCTCTCCTGGGAATAGGATGGTATGATCTGGTGGGAATCACAGGAACTTGGTAGAATGAAAGGCAAGTCTGGAATGTGAACATAGAAGGGTATCACCTTTTTAGAAAGGACAGGAAGGGAAAGAGAGGTGGGGGCGTGGCTTTATATGTCAGGGAAGGGATAGGATGCAGTGAGATAGAATGCAGCACAAATGGGGATTTGGTAGAGGCAGTCTGGGTGAAACTTAGGGGTTTTGACAGGGAAAGAGACCTGACAGTGGGGGTATGTTATCGCCCTCCAGGTCACCTTGAGACCCTGGATGATGTCCTGACAGACCAGATTCTAAGGATATCTCGGGGGAGAGACACAGTAATTATGGGAGATTTCAATCTCCCGGATATTACTTGAGAGACTCACTCGGCGGTGACAGCCAGGTCATGTCGCTTCCTAGAAGCTATAGAGGGAGGGTTTTTCACACAGAGGGTCCGAGAGGCAACGGGGGGGGGGGACATCCTTGACTTGGTCTTGACAAACAGGGAGGAGCTGATAGATGAAGTACAGATTACGGGAACTCTGGATGCGAGTGATCACTCCATCCTTTGCTTTGAGATCAGGGGACTGCGGACGTGCAGCAGGTCGAGCACTAGAAGCTGGGACTTCAAGAGGGCCAACTTTGGCCAACTGAAGGCCAGACTGGGGAAAGTCTCCTGGGATAGGTTACTGGAAGGTAAGCGAGTTGAGGAGGGGTGGATAGCACTCAAAAGGGAGGTTTTGGAGGCGCAAGCCTTGACGAT